GTCCTGGAGTTCTTTGTGGTCGATGGTCATATTGGTTGTCATGTGTCCTGGAGTCCTTTGTGGAAATGGTCTGCATGTACAGTCCAAAGTGGCTTTAAATTCGTTGACCCTCTGTCGGTGCAAGCCGGCCCGCGGCCCGTGCCAATGCAAAAACCCCTCCCTGAATTGATCCATGGAACCGACACCTCTTTGGAAGTGGTTCTGCTGAAGCCGAAGACACCCAGCCAGTCCAGCAAGAACATGAAGTTGGTGTCGCCCCTCAGCCCCTTTCCAGTGACGCCCTTCTTGTCCACATCAACGAAGCTGAAAGTGCATGGCATCTTAGCAGCAGAATTTTCGAACAGGTTCATTGGCCAGGTGACCCCTTTCGGAATACGCCCTCCCCCAAATTGGGAACAGCTGAAATTTTTTCAGCTCATGAAGTCCAGGTGGATTCCATCCCTTGACCAGGTGACCCCTTTTGATCCTTTTGGGAACAGCTGAAACAAATTGTTCAGCTCATGAAGTCCAGGTCAGCTAGAAATTGGTGCAACCTGCCGGAAAAAACCAGATCCTCTTCCTAACCTGCCCCTAGTGAAGACCGGTGTCCCTTGCACACTGCGCAGGTGAGCGGGCTTCCTCGCAGTGGTGGGTGGTGGGACAGCAGTGGTGGGACGTCCAAACAAGCCCAAGATCCCACTTCAGCCCCTAGTAGCAATGCCAGGAGCCCCTAGTAGCGACCTTCAGCCCCTAGTAGCGATGACTGGAGCACCTAGTAATGTCCTTCAGCCCCTAGCAGCGATGCCAGGAGCCCCTAGTAGCGTCCTTCAGCCCCTAGTAGCGATGCCAGGAGCCCCTAGCATGCATGCCTGGGACGTCCAAACAAGCCCAAGATCCCAAATAAGTTTGGGCCCAGTTGCACGATGTTTCTTCAAGTCACGCATCATTCGATAGTTCGGGATGTTGTTCTCTTTGCAAAGGCGCTCCACCCGAATCCATTTCCAGCCATCAGCGAGTCGATCTCTATAGAATTCCTGTGCATGTGTTGGGGGTATTGTGCCAGAAGGAACCCCAATAAAAAAGGGATCATGATTTCAAGCACCAAATTTTTGAATATTATTGAAGTGACATAAAGGCCAATGAAAAAGCGAGCCTTCAGCACATCCACCACTGCATCCCGCGGTCGGGAATCAGGCATGGCAGCAATCCAAAGGACACCAGCTAGTTGTAGGAAATTGCCATTGTGGGACATGGTACTTCACATTTTGGATGAAGGAACAACCCCCCAAGAGTTCTGAGGACGTCTGATCTGACGAGGAGGGCATCCTACCCACCACAGCTGCGGGAATTCCAGCTGTAAGTGCACTAGGGCCTACTTGGGGCCAGCCAACTAGCATATATAGTCTCATGATGTCTCATGATATCTCATGATCATGATTAATGAACCGCTCACACGAGCCGTAGCCTGCGAACATACATCGTCCAATCCAACGTCCCTACAAGTCAAAGACCTTACTGGGGATGGTCACACAAAACCAAATATTTTAAAGGAGGTTTTACTGGGTCTTTGGACTTGTAGGGAACGTGTTGCACCCACGAATCGTCCCCAAGTCCATGCCAAAGGCACCTTCTTCATCAGACGATTCCTCCACTCTCTTCTCGTAGGCTCCTTGTTGCGGGGAAGTGCTGGCAATCCACCCCCAAAAGCCCTCAAAGCACGTAGCTTTGTCACCAGATACTAGCCGAGAGTCTCTTCCGAAGCGCACGTTTCATCCATGTGCGAGGCCAAAACGACAGGGCATCGAAGGGCGGGGATGTGGTGCTATGATGTCTACTACATTCATGGAATCTAGCCATGTGATCAGTGATCTATCCATGTTTATCAATGGATCCTTCTATCCATGCATGTCTTTCATATGTCGGACATGCATGATGCCGACCAGCTGCATTTTTGCAGCTTGAACATGCCCTGACCACCTGCAAAACGAATGAACACTCATGCAAATCCTGTGCTAGCATGTTAATAGAGTCGTGATTAGACAAAGTAAAGTACGTTCTTTCGAAAAGTAATAGTAGTCCTTTAGTTAAGGACCAGTTTAACGAGTACTTTGGTTCATAGGGTTTGTTGTTGATTTGGGAGTCCACACCATCAACCACTAAATACATGCTGCTTCAAGCCAGCCTGGGCGGATTTCCGTCCACCGATCCACCTGAATCACCACGGTCACCGTCTTCCGTCGCCTGACCCGGTGCCGCCCAGGGTCTTGTAGTCGCGCCGCACGAAGGGGACCAGGTAGGCCTTCATCGGCTCCAAGTGCTCCACCTGCTCCGCCGAGACCTCGGCACGGCACGGCACTCGGAAGGGGTCCATCCCGGTCGTCCCTTGCAGGTCGTCCGGACTCGAAGGCTCCACGGCCATGCGACGCATCCGCCCCAGCCGCCGACCGAGGCCACCGAGGCCACCGAGGTGCTAAGATCGCCTTCCGCAGCAGTTCGTGCAAGAGGTCCTGATAGTTCTCCTTCAACAAGTAAGACAGGTCCTTAGGTGGCTGAGTTGTTCTCCGTGAGGAAAACGGAGGAGCGGCTGGGTCCAAATTGGATGCCTGTTCAAGAAATCCTTCTTGATCGGTCACAGCTGTGCCCAACTGAACGCTCTCATGCAACCTGAAAGGGTCGATCGCCTCCATCGATCGATTCTCCCAGCGTCGCCGACACGGCCTTCGGCGCTCCGGACATCGAATCGGAAATCACGCTCCGGCTGGAGAGGCGATTGATGTGATCGCCTCTCCAAAAAGATCGGGTCACGGCCGCACGTTTTTGGATCAACTACTTCTACCAGCACCGACGACCAACAGGTCACCAATTGAAACCTGTTAGGGCCTTTCACAACCCTCCAGCCATCGGAGACCTGTTGGGTTCGGTGCTGGTAGTCTGCTGAACCACCAGGGCTCTCCCAACTCATGTGGCTTCGCGGTGCTGAAGGCCATCTTGCTCAGCTTCTTCGCCATGGGGGTGCCCACCTCACCACGTGGACCGCGCGGAAAAGTGGAAAAAAGACGGCGAGACAGGCGAAGAGGCCTCGCTTTCATCCGTGGTCTTATAGTGTCTTTCCTGAAAAAGGATTATCCCGCCTGCCTGTGACAGACACAGCGAGCTTTTTGAGAGCTGGTCAAACTTATTTTGAATTCTTCAGTGGACAGGGGATGCAGATGCAGCAAGGCGTTAAATCGATCCACAAAGCACGAGAACTCACTTAACATCACTTAACCATACTCAGCATCTTTGGCAGAGGAACCTCAAATCTTGACCCATGGATGCTTTAAAACGCTTTTGTAGGCCAGACTCAACATAACATCTGGTATTCGATCCAGAGTATGCTTCTGGGGGCTCCTTGCGAGCTTGCCCAAGCAGACCCGTTCTTGCAGAAGAAACTCCAACCCACGCGGCCACTGCGGATGCCTTCTCACTCAGAAAAAGACCGTGGGCCAACGCACCAGTTTAACCAGTTCTTCAGTAATACACCAGTTTAACCAGTGCTTTAGCAAAACGGAAGCTGGAAGCTTGAACAGGACGTCTTTTTAACCCGTGAAAAGCCCTTGAACATAGGGTTTAAAATGCGTCCCTTTACGCTAACACACTAGTTAAACCTGGCCTTTGGATTCCAAATCCGCTACAACGTGAGTAGAAGCGGAGAAGAAAAGACGACGAGCAAGTGAAAGTGGTCCCCACGACGAGGCACACCAGTTGGGTGCACTGATTCCTCAAAAGCTTAGGGAGCTCTCCAATCTGGAAAAACATCGGAGGGCTTTCCGAAATGCCAGGTCCTCAAAGGATGTACAGTATATATAGCTGGATCGAAGTCCCATCCCTGGTTAACTAAACACCCCTATACACCCTTTCTCGAAAAATGTTCCGTCCCCCTGAACCGCTTCGCAAAGAAGAACACATTCCCGTGCCCATTCCCTTTTTCGGGATGCTCCACCGACGTCCCACCCCACCACCTCAAGCTCCCGACACCACCGACTCCCACCACGCTCCCGACCGCCTTCACGTTGGTCCCTCGTTGGTCGAAGTGGTGCGTCCTGGACACCTCAGGCGCCACGCACTCACGCGCAGCGCCGGAGCCGCCGGACTCGGCGCTCGCGGCGAGCTCGAGCTGCTGGCGGCCGCCATGGCGCAGCCAATGGTCCCAGCCGGTGCTGGGATAACGAGGCCAGCTAGGACGCAGAGAAAACCAGGTCCTTACGGAGATGAAGGAAGATGAAAACGGATGCTGTGAGACGGAATTTGGTTTATTTGGGAGATGGGTTATATTAATTAATATATTGGTTGATGAGTTGATAGAGAAGTTTAAGATCGTTTTGAGATGGGTTTGTCAGGATTGTCCCATATTTCAAGTTCAAAAGGTTCGTTGGATTGTTGAGGACTTGGTGGTTGAATCGCATATGTGTCTCGTGTTGAATCCCTGCTCGCTGTTTGCAGTGCTCAAAACCTAGATCCCATTCACGATGCGGGCTGAAAACGAAGCCTGCAAGGCTATAGAGGCCATTGAGTTCGTGCTTCATTGAAATGTGAGGGGTGCACGTTGAAGGCAAAACGGGGAAAGAAAACAATACGGATCATACGCGTAATATAGACTCCTTCCATTTGTTGCCGCACCAACCCAAATGAAGCATAGATCGAGACATTCTCACCCATGCGATTTCCTCATGATCCGAGTCAACTGCGTCCAAGTCGCGTGTTCTGGATCATCCAGCCCAAGCCTGGGAAGTAGTCCGTGCGAAAGAGCCGCGTGGCGTTGAGCTCCGCGCGGAGCAGCGCGGCGTCGCTGAAGCCGTTGTCGTTCCACGCGGAGACGCAGAAGAGGGAGGGGTCCGCGGTTAGGAGCCACGCCGAAGCGCGGAAGAGCCACAAGAAGTCCGGTGCCACTAAGAGATCCTTGGGGAGGTCCGGGTGGGCTGGACAGGGCGGCCCGGACGGCTGGACAGGGCGGCTGGACAGGTGGTGCAGAAATTGGATGGGATGGGAGATGGGATGGGAGGGATCATGGCCCTACGGGTCGGCTTGACCTCAATTTACAAATCAGTTCATCATACACTGCTCAATGAGGTATACAGGAGTGACTGGGTCTGACTGGACTGCCGGGATTGTGGTGTTAGGGCGCATGGTGAGGTCCCCTGCTGGCTGCCAAGACACATTCTCCAGGAAGACGGCAAACTCGAAACCTCAACTGGTGTAACTGGTGCTGCCATTCCCAATCTTGGCTGTTCTGAACCGACCTTTTTCCTCTAATTCTAAAAAGTGAATTTGTGAACCTGAATGAAACACTTTACATTAAATTCTCAAACTCACAACGAGCAAACATATTTGACGTGGCAAGGCTCTTAGTGCCCACATATTTCGGAATTCAGTGACTGACTATTCCCACACCCCTGCACTGCAAGTGTGCACTAGGCAGCCCCGCCAACCCAATGAGTCAGCTAGTGCTACCTTTCGCGAAAAACAACTCGCCACTATTGTCACTGTCGAGTTTTGCAACCCCAAAGTCTTGCATTCCGTGGAATTTCAAGCGCAGTTCGACCAGTGCAGGCGTGACCCTCCGATTTAGGTCCAATAGCACCTCCACGTCCAGCAAACCACTGAATGAATCTGACCACATCTGGTCACTACCCCACAATCAGAGAGGATCGTCATCCAACATCGCTAAGAAGAAAACAAAAGCTACAGAGCTCCAAATAGGGGTGCACCCCACATCTCAAAAGTCTATAAATTTATAATAGGTATACCGTTCTTGGAATAATTTGCTATACACTCTATTTCGATTCGTTTAAATGTGTTTTAGAGCTATACTTGCGTAACTTCCAGCATCCAAAGTCTTGCTTGTTAGCCTCATGTTGAATGTCTTTAATGAGTCTTTAATTCATTGCAAGCCAGCTGC